TAGCATCCCGAGAGGGAACAAGGGAAGAGACACTTTAGATAATTCATTAGCCCCTTCAAGCATAACAAAGTGATGGCAGAGGTGGGGATCGGCCAACGCAAAGTGGCTGACGTAGAGAGAGAGAGAGAGTAACTGTGTTTTACTCACCCCTTACATCGAAGTATTACATATGGCAACGGTGGTGAGCCGAGTCAACAAAGGGTTGACTGACGTAGCGAAGGGACTAGTCAAAGAGAAATGGCAGACCGAGTGATTTAGTGTGTTATAACCCACCCCGTCACTAAAAAATAATAAGTGGGGACAGTGGTGAGATATCAAATCCACCCCTGTCGTAGAAGTGTAATATATGGTGTGACAGTCGATGGGTAGAGGCGGGTCTGACCTGACACGCCCGCTCTACGCCAATAATAAGAGGCGACAGTGATGAAAGGGCCAGCCAAAAGAGAACACTCGACCACCGCGCTGCCGGCCCTTAGTACCTTCTTCACCCCTTTTTAAGATGTAATAAGATGGTGGCAGCTATATGCAACGAAGGAAGTCCCGAACCAGGAGAATCCTAGCTGAGGGTAATCTAGGATTATTGTGTTAACCCCTTACAGCATGAGATGTGGTGGGAAGGAGGGATACCTCCACGCCCCCTGTCACCACGGCATAATATCAGATAAAACAGTTACCTCAATATAGTGGAAAATGCAGTGCCTCAGTATCCTTGCCAAAAAAGTGTAATCTGGAACGTCATTATAATGCTCTCCATAGCAATAAGTATGATGCTGATTTTCCACCCAAAAGTGAAATATGTAAACTTAAGCTCAGAGACATTAAATTAAAATTAGCTGCTCAACAACAGTTGATGGCAAAACCAAGATCACTTTCTAACAATGCAACCAAATCATCCTTCAAGGTCAGCAATCTGATCATTAAATAATTCAAACCTTTCACTGAAGGGGAATTTGTAAAAGAGTGTTTTCTTGAAAGAGTTGATAATCTTTTTCAAGGATTTAAAAATAAGAACGTGATCATAGCTACTATTCAAGATCTTTAATTATCAAGAAACACCATTGTATGGCAAATAAAAATGATGTGTGGAAACATAACTGAACAGTTGTTGAAAGATGTTTCCAATAGTTGCTTTTACAACAAACATCATATGTCGTGTTATTTTTACCAATATTTTTGCATAAAGCGAGGTACAACAGTAGGAGGGGGTGGTAGATCACTGGCAGTTTTGACACTAAAAAGTCGATCACAACGTATTTGAAGTTGGACATGCCTGGGTTATATGATAGAATTTGTCACAGAGTTGAATGAACATTACTTTTGCTTAGAAAATGTTCTGTCTCTGAATATAACATTTGCTGCTTAAACCTAATTACCTCTCATTTGCACTGAGAGCAGCTAGTTGTAAGTTATTGAGCTACAGGTTTCTGATTTCCACAGAGCATTCTAATATGTAAAGGTGTCCCTATGTTTAACGAATTAAACACTACGCTATGAAGACAGAGAGTAGATGTCTATATCCATATTTTCTTGACCTCGGCACTAGTTGGAGGTTAGTGGTCAGCTTCACGCCCCGGCCGCTTTACCCCTGGAGAAAGAGCTTCCAGTACCCGTTGGATATGGGGCTGGGTGGACCCCAGAGCCAGTCTGGATGATGTGGATAAGAGAAAATTCTTGACTCTACTGGGACTCGAACACTGACCCCTCGGTCGTCCAGCCCATAGGCAGTCGCTATACCAACTACGCTATCCCGGCATTCTGATATGTGCTAATTATATTTCAGACAGCTGTCTCATGTTGATTAGTTGCTACCTGTTAGATGCATTTTATCTGGCAGAACTGACATTAATTGAATTTATGCAAATGCTACTTTACTTGCATACTTCTTTCAGTTGTTACTTATTATTGTTTACTGAAAGCCACTTTTATCTTATCAGGAGTGTAGGCCACTATTATTGGATTTACTGATGGGACAAAAGGAAACCTTAGAGGTATTGTATATTACATACCACTCCTACCCCATGCAACACAACTTCCTCCTCCTGCACTTCTCCCAGAAGAGCTGCCAAGTTGAAGCAAAGAGTAGCACTCTTAAGCTTCTGTTATTAGTGTTTTGCTGCCACAATTGTACTACACATAGCTTATGCAGGTGGTACACTCATGAGAAGGAAACACGATCTTCTGATTTTTCTGATGAAGTCTGAGCTAACGCAATTCTGTTCTTGTTTTGAAAAATATATTATCCCTACTGTAGCACACTGTCGTAATTCTGAATATGTGGACTTCTGTTCTGTGCAGAAATGTCATTCACATTGCCTGTTAACATATTCTCTGTACTAAGTGTGTGAAATGAATGTACAGTGAAGGTGTCATACCTGTTTATCTGCATTATTCATTTGAGAAACGTGAATTTAATTTTGGTTCACTTCAATTCAGTATTATCCTTGTACAGATTAATATTTAATCTGTAGGACTTCATGTTCTTCTGGCAGTGATTATGAAGAGTTTTGTCTCTTAGGATGTAATACCATGTAGACTGCTGAAAGTTAAGTAAGTCAAGCAAGAAATCAGCATTAAGGAGGCAGCAAGTAGAGGTCTGTTATCCCAGAAGATATAATTCTTAAGATATTGATATGGCAGGTTTGATTCATAGCAGGGATGAGATTTTGCTTTTCTCCACAGTGTCCAGACAAACTCAAGGGCCCACTCAGCCTCCTATCCAATGGGTAATGGGGGAAATTTCCCTAGGGAGTAACGTGTCTGGGTAGCGGCCTCCGTAGTCTAGGGGTAACGTTCCCACCTCATGACTCAAGGTACACAGGTCCAAACCCGGCGGAGGTCGTGGAATTTTTAAGGGCGGAAAAATTCAGGGAACAAGTCTTCTGGGAGGGACTTTAAGCCGTGGGTCCCGTGTCGCAGCTTTACAGCACATAAAAGAACCTCATGTCTCAAGGAGACCTCTGAGCCAAATTTATGACATTTTCCGCCCAACAGTAGTCTCTAACGCCTCTGGCAGATGGGGGAAGCATCGAGATACCTCTGAGCCAGTAGAGGCCGAACTCGCTGGCTGAGTCGGGACTAATGGAACGCACCAGTACCAGTAGGGTATAGAGACTGGTAGAATATCGAAGGGGGCTGCACAATGGACCAATACCTGGTCTAAGTGCATGGGGAAACCCACCCCCTCCAATAAGAACAACAACAACGTGTCTGGGTGTGAAGCTAACCACTCACTTCCATTTAGTGCTGAGGTCAAGAATGGTTTGAGGTGTACTTCCACTCCCCCATATGCCTTCATGGTATAGTGCTTATTTAATTAATTAAGCAACTTTACTTTTTTAATCTGGCATCTCAGGAATAGTCCAATGAACACTGAGTAGAACATGATATAAAATATACGTCTCAGTAATGTCAACTTCTATATAACTATTTTTTTTGTTGTGTTGAGCAATCAATGAAACACATGAAAAATAATTTTTAGCTCTTTGTATGTGTATCTTTGCAACAACTGTATATTTGTATGAGCAGAGACTATTGAAATTCAACACAGATGAGAAGGACATGAAATGAAGCAATTTTATTCTTGAAATTATTTTCTCATATATCATCACCAGGGCCTGGATTTTGATGACCTGAAAATATTTAAAAAATGACCTATTAAATGACTGAAGAAATTCAGAAAAATGACCTAAAATATGACCCAAAAATGTAATATGCAGGGCCCGGATTTTGATGACCTGAAAATATTCAAAAAATGACCTATAAAATGACCGAAAAAATCCTGAAAAATGTCCTAAAGGAGAAAATAAAGAACATTTCACTTCCATGTTATTCACATTTCAGAAAACATATGAAGAAAAATTCCCTAAAATGGCCAAAAATGACAAGAAATACCCTTAAAAGTCCAAAAATTTACCAAAAAATTGCCCCCAAAATGAAAAAATGACCTTAAACCTAAAAATGTCAAAAATTACCTATAAAATTTACATTTCTGTAACCAGCAGCTCATATCCGAGATTTGTATATTTAAGAGCATCGCATAGGATAGAAGGAAAAAAAGATGACATGTCATCGAAATCCATGCCCTGATCATCACCATCATCATCATCATAATCATAATTATTAAATCATGGCTAGAGTCATCAGCCCTTTCCATCTCCATTATCACTTAAACTTTGTCACTCCAATATTTCATAGGGTGTTGGATGTTTTGTTTTACCATAGGCTTATGCTGTTGTATTTTGAAAGGTATACAATATGGGTTCATTCTAAAATGATTGTACCACCTTGTACCACCTGTTTGTGTAATCAATTATTTTGTTTGTGATATTTGCAGCATTTAATTCCTAATGTATATTTTTGTGCTTGTGGCTCAATAAATTATATCCTCCTAATGGTCTTAGCAACTTTATTCTGGAAATGTCCACCCTTCTCCTTTGTTGTCTGAGTCCATATGTCTGAGCCAGAAGATGATACTGGTGTGGCCATGGTTTTATAGAACCCGGTTGTGTTGTCAGTCACCTTTTTGAATATAGTTCCTTTTATTATGCCTGTAAACTGTTAACATTTGTGGAGCTTGTTGTTGTATTTGTTCTACTTTATGATCCTTAATTATGTCCTTATAGATGTTAATGCCTCTGAACCCAAAGAGTTCAGTGGTTTGGAAGATATTTTCAAGTTATATCTTTTCGCACTGTTATTTAACTTACACAGAACTCTTCAATTATTTTCTGAGCATGTATATATCATTTTGTTGCCTACGAATAATAGTGTTTTTAGGTGTTTTCTGTTTATAATATAAATTTATTTTAATTTTGTTTACCACATTTCGATGAATTCATTGATATGTGATGTAATGTGAGTGATAATAGACACTTGTCTAGACCAGATTTAAATGTTGCTGACAGATTTCCTCAGGATCTGGCATTCAACAGATACATTTTTCTTTTCACAATTTTAGTGTGTCTTGTATATAAAATAATTTGTCTCTTCTAATCATCCAGGGTTATTGACTTAGAAACTGCTCTTCTGGAGGACTGTACAGCAGCATCTATTTATAGTATCTGTAAAGGCAAGAGTGTGCCTGATTTCCTGAGGGCTGAAGTGTGGCAAATATGTCTTCAAGTGCAAGAGAAAGGGAATCAACTTGTATTGTTCAATGAAATATTTGACCTTCCTGAGCAGAATATTTTACGAGAAGATTGTCAGCAGTTCGTTGGTAGGTGTTTTACTGAAAGATTTTATCTTCTGGGTCATAAGACTGTGTAGTACAGTGAAAGTCAGCTGATGTTTCTCTGAAACATCACTGTAGGAGCAAAAGTTAGAGGATTGTTTCAGTTAACCTTATTGTCTTTCTTTCTCTTCAGTTTCTGTGCTAACATGATCCTCAGAATTGAGAATTTTTTAAGAACTGTATGGTGTCAACAAGAGAACCCTTCAACAGAAACAAGAAGGAAAGTAGGAACTTGGTACTGGCAACCAATGATACTGTTTTAGAAGTGATCTCATATTTGATTCTCCTGTGATGTTACCGCCATTGCAGATGTAAGAAGTAAATTTTCAGAAACAGGCAGTAGAATACCAGATTTGTTAAGATCTTCAGAATCCATGGGTTATTTCTGTAAAGTTTCTCCTTTAAGTTGGATTTCAGGTTTCATGGCAGTGACTATGGAGTGTATGGTCTTCTAGATTATGACACCGTGTAGTTTGGTGAGAGCATTACATTTCAGAGGAACATTCCACCACCATCTTCAGGGTTGAAAAGTAAACTAAATAAGGAACCAGCATAAGCAATTGGTAAACTGTTGCCTTCGTCTGCTGGTTTGTTGCTTGGGTGTCCAAACTACACAGAGCTAAGTGCAGAAGACCATACTCTCTTTTTTTTCTCCCTTCAGTTTCCCTACAGGCAAAATACACAAGTCTGAACAGATCACATTTAGGCAGGTTGCCTTGCTGCGTAGAATTTTCATCCATTTATATTTTAGTGCAAATCATTTCTTTTGTATTTTCCATTTCATATATTTATCTCCTTCCCTCTTTTCTTCCCTATTGCTTTCTTGTCCATTCTATCATCTTTCCTCTTCCCCTTCCTTTCTCTCTCTCCTTCTTGTTAAAAGAGTCCCATCAGTCCTACTATTCCATTCTTCTGACTCTTTATCCCCTTCCTTCCTTTAGTGTTCTTTTCCTATCCCCTTTATTTGTCCATTGTATTATCATTCCTCCTCCCATGGGCATATGCCATAGCAGTGGCATGGGTGGTTTTCCTGAAGTGGAAGAGTAACTGGCTCTTATTTATATATAAATGTTTCAGTTTCATTTTGTTAATAAAAGCAAGCAAATTTAAGACCTGAAGTATTTTGTTTTTACTCTGGCTCCTAGATCTATAGGAAATTTGTCCAGGCCTTGTCTTATGTATTAAGCCTATAGGTGAACACCTCATTCAGTCCCACAGTACCATAATCAACTTCGCAAAGTTCATTTTAATAACATCTGTGATGTTCCAAGTGAAGTCCTTCCTGAGGATTCTGGACCAAAATTTTACACATGGACCTAATTTCCATCAGTGCCTCAAGCTCAACCTATCACAATTTCCATTTAATTATATAATAAATAATTTTCTTTATAATGTAAATTTATATTTATATGCAACTTAGTAATAAAGTTTGTATGGTTGGATAATTGAGATACATACCTAACTGCAATTTTCTGTGTATTAGATTGTGCTGGAAATAATATAGTAGTCTTCGTTTACATTTTTGTCTTGAGTGGAATTACTGTAATGTCCACACTATGGTTTTGTTTTCAATTATTCCAATTTCACAGATGGTTGCGGCTTATTTATGCTCTTTGTGTACTTGTGGTATGGTATCGCATAAGTGGGCAATACAGAGTTTTTAATAAGTTTGACCATTTGCTTTTCCAGTTCTTGAAATTTTGAAGAGTTATTTGATGTATGTTAAATACGTGGTGCAATCCAAAAGTTCCCGAAATATGTTAACTCTTTGACTGGCGCGGGCGTGTTTTAACGCCCGGACGATGCCAGCCGTTCCCTGGCGTTGGTGTGTTTTAACGCTTTGACAATCTCTTCCCTTCTTTGCTCTGTTGACACTCCTCAACCAAAGACATATATATGATAGTTTTTGTGCATGTTTGTAAAGAACCCTTGTAGTCTATATTACTGTCAGAACCCTCTGAGAAGGAAAAGGTCAGAAAATATTTCACATTCATTCAGTTTCACCATGGCTTCTTGCAGC